TAAAGTTTTTCTCTTTCCTTGGCTGTTTGAGATTTCATATCCAATACCCAAATTAACCTTCTGTAACATTAGTTTCTTTTTTCATCATTTCAGATGCCAGTTTGTCAGTTTTTTCTTCGTGGTAAATGTTCCCACGACAACTGTCCTTATTCTCACGTCAACGTTAGCAAGAAGGCGGAAGTGTGCGAGGATTTTCTCAAAGGGTTCTGTTCACGAGGGCAACAGGTGTGTTTACTCTCATTGTTGATTATTCTCTTGTTCGCTGCTCTCATTTGCATTGCCATGCAATGCCACTCTCATGTGGGGGGGAGTATTGCGTGAGAACTTCATAAAAACGCCTCTGAGAAGATTACTGAAGCTTAAGGGCCGGGCACTTAGTGGATTATCAAGTACTTGAAATACATACATGTGTATGTATGCTGTCATAAACAGGCAATACAAAGGTTGCGTGCATTCTGCTAAAGATTATATTTACTCTTCTTCAAAGGCATTGAAGGGTAGGATTTGGTTTATTGACCAAGCCAGAGGTCAAGATGGCTGGGCATTTGCCAAGTCCTTTTTCTTTTCTTTTTTTTTTTCCCTCGTGTTTATGGACCGAGACGGAGTTGAGGTCCAGAAACACGCAGAAAAAGAACGAGGCCAAAATCATCTTGACCGAACAAGCTCAGTCAATAAAGGATTTATTATACGAAATAAGGACACTATTTTCTTGCAAGACACGGCGGGTAATTCCGAGCTGGCGAGGTTGTGCCATCTTACCCACTCGTGTAGCCAATCAAAGCGCAGGATGCGGTTCATCTTGCCTGTTCACGGAGCTAGCCATATAACAAGGGATCTTGCTGAATGCTGCGCTTCCGCTGTCAAAAGTAGCCAGAGAAGGCCAAATAATCTTCGGTAGCGACAAAAGTGTCAACAGCATTGGATATACACGCCCAGTAGGCATAGAAATTTGGCCCTGAGGCGGAGTGCGTTTGTTGTCAAGCCTTGACAATTGAGCGCTTCTCCCTGAAGTGATCTGTCGATGGGTGTGTTTCCCGTCGTTTTGGTATCGTTTACTGTGTAATTATTTACAATTAAAACATAGTTGTTGTTTTTTTTTGGTTGACAGTGTAACAAAAAACACATCCTTGAGTGTGAAGAATTCTCAACGACTGGCAAGTGTTCTAAGGGATCCAACTGCAAACTAATGCACAGAGCAAGAAAACCTGCTGCAGCACGTAAACGAAAATCTTCCTCGAAAGAGGAAAACGAGAGCTCAAAACTCTCCAAATTGGATTTTACGAGTGATGAAGGTTTCTTGCCACTTTCAGCCAGCGATGCAGGTTTGTCATGATATCTACTTCTGAGTATTCAAATGGTCTTAGTCTTTTACGGACTTTTTTGAGATTGACGAATGTACAAGCATATCAAAGCATACACCTTTTTGCCTGTCGATTAAGCTCTTTTGTGTTGTAGATTCGGAGCAAACGTCTACGCTGGATCCGTTGGAAAATACATCAGTAGAAACCAAAGAGAAGGATGGTAAGAGTGGACCTTCACATTGGGCTTGAGCATTTTAGCGTCTGGATTGAAGTTAGACTTACCTTCAAGTCGAGCTGCGAAAGCCGAGCTCGGAAAGAGAAAAATGTTTGCGACGCTCACAACTTGAATGCGAAGAGCGCAAGATTGAAGAGCGCAAGCTCGACTTGTTTCGCTTGCGAGAACTTGACACGGGCGGATCCAGGAATTTCTGAAATGGGGGTTGTACTACTGTAATAGCTTTTGACGCCATTGACGTGGATGGCGAGCGACGTAGCCGCGAGCTTCTAGGGGGCTTCGAGGTCATCCCTCCCCGGAAAAATGTTCCGCCATTTCTGGCATTCCTGACACTTGAAATGCGTTTGTGAAGGCATGATATAAAATCTGGAGTTTACTTTACCTCTCAACCAGAAATGCAGTCGTGAAATGTACCCTACCTTTTCCTAACTTGACAGTCCGAGTCAGTCAATTGGCGGAAGTGAAAGAACTATGTATAGAACAATTTTATTAGTTTGCTATTCACAGGGGGAGAGGGGGTGTTGCCACCCTCTCAACCCCTCCCCTGGATCCGCCTCTGCTTGAGGAAAATTCCTTCGGTAAATTTGGCGCGCGGCAAAGGATAAAAGTTTTCGGCCAGCCCTATTCAATGAGAAGCGAACGACTTTAGGCAGTATAGATTGAAACTCTCATTCAATTTACAGCTACAGCCTTCCCGGAAACTCGCTTAACTTTTGTAACCACTGCTTGGAGATGTAAAGTATCATGTTTTCGTTATCATTTAGCCAATCAGATTTCAGCTTATGTGTTCTCAGCCAATGAAAAGCAAGGCCAAAACCAATCGTCTCATTTTGGTCGTTTCATGCGGCTGCTGAAGATGGTATACGCAGTCTCGACGGTAAACAACCTCTACATTTTAGAATTTTGCTATCCACGCCAGTAAATTCGAAATATTATGTTATCAAGAATCTTGACCGACATCAGGTTGTTGATGTAGCAATTTCACAGAAAACTTAACTAACTTATATGTAAACTATTTTTTGTCTACAGTTGAACCAGTGGTAATTCGTCCGAGGTTCTTGAAGCCCAAGGAACCCGAGAAGCAAACTGAGGATTGATTAGGTAGGCTTAGTTTCAAGAGGTTCTTAATTGAACTTCCTTGTCTCTGGGCCTTTGAAGCTAAGGATCTACCACTAAGTAGTGGCCTGTCCTTTAGTTGAGAGTGAGTTTGTCGACGGGAGGATTGTGCGTTACTTTGCAGGAGAGCGAGTGAGTCACAGATGATATGATTGCGTGAGTTATTGTGAGTCTCTCTAGCACGCAAATTGTTGCTCGACTTCTTTTTGTCACGGCGGGACTTGGAGCGCGGGCCAGTTGTTTGATTTTTATTGATATTATTTCTTGTTGTGCTGTGCATAGTGTAAATGTGTTTTTAAAGGAACGTGTAACGGCGGGACTGTAAAGAAAATAGAGAGAAGTTAATAAAGAGTAATTAACATGAAGATTTATTGGTATATAATAAAATTACCAACGTTCTTACTTGTAAGTTGTCTGTAAACCATCTCTGTTTGTTAGTCGTGAATGAACGATTACCAATAGACGCCTCTCCACCTTCAGCTTCCCTTGAACTTTCTCTTCTTAATCTCATTACTTTGTCTCAGTCTGTGTTTTTTTTTTTAAAGTCCATGCAATGCATTAGAAATAATAATAGCAACAGTTGTATTAGTGAATTTTTTTTTCTTCACCCTTGAATTCCAATCATTTTTAATTCAAAAATATGTGACGTTGAAAGAGAGTTATAAATCTTCATTCGATAGGGTAATGTATAATTTCAACGTATTTAGTTATCATACAAGAAGTTGCAGTTGCTAATGAAAAAACAAAACAAAAAAAAGAAACAACGGTGAAAACTGGCGGTGCTGAGGAGGCTTAAGAGAAACAAAAAACCTTGAATGAGAGTATAGTAGGCCTGCTCGAGGTGTGTAATTGTAATACATAACTAAAAACAAAATAGTGAAAACTATTTATGCACCCGCCTAACTTCCATTGTTCTATGAACATTCATTATGTAGGTTATTCCCTCTTTAAAATAAATCCCTTTAGTAGAACATTCTATGTTTCTCAGTATGGTAACCTGCAAAGTAGCA